GAAAAAGGAAAAACTGAACCTAACTTCTGTAGGTCTACTAATATATTTGTTCTAGAACAAAGAGCAACAGCCTGAATTGCTGCAGTGTATGGAGAAGATTTTGAGACAAGCTTTTCAAACTTGGAATGATTATACAGCCATTTAGATTTTATTTAAACTGTCAAGAATTTAGGGGTTTTTTTAGTCTTTTGAGAAGGTACCTCTGGCTTTAATCTAAACATATTTTTAGAACTTGCCAATAAATATTTATTAGTATTTTATAGAAATAATTCTGAATATTTAGCATTATTAGAACATTTGTTCTCTGAGGAAATTGAAGTAATTTCTATAGACAACATCTTTATTTCAAATATTGTAATGAATAATTCAATGCAATGTAAATGAAGAAGTATACTGACCTTTTTAGAATTATCTTCTGAAACAATATCCATTCCACATTCTCAGCTAAGGCAAAAGGAGCTCAGTATTCTTTATGGCTTCTGAGAAGACAATGCTGCTGTAAAACACTGACTTATTATCTGTTTTATTCAGTGAATTGTCTGACAGGAGGTGAACCTATAGGATATATTGACTGTGGTTTCAATTTTGTTTTGTCTATAAAAAGTCAAAGCTTCCTTTGAGCATTATCAGACAAAATAAATAATGTAAGAGAGATAATTGTTTAATGAACTTGGAGTAACATGATTCAAGCCGAATATCCCCACAGATTTTGCCAAAGCTAATAAAACTCTTTTGCACCCTACTTATTATTTTTGAATATGTATCAACTTGTAAATTCTTAAGGTCATTTTTAAAACAAGTATTGAAGTTCGTTTCTTTGTACTCATGAGTGCTTTAGTAGTTTTGACTGTTAATCACCATGCAATTGGAAATGAGCTGATGTATAAAATATATAACATTTATGTAATTATAAAATCATGTACTTTTGACTGTGATTCCTGATTCTAAATGATTTAATTCATACAAAAGAACAACAAATTACAATTTATTTATTTTTTTATATAACTGTTGGGCACTATATCAGAATTTACACAGTGTACTATATATAGGTATAAAGAACCAGAAAACTCCTTTGTTTCATCCTGGTACATGAGTATTTCCTTGCTATATTCTCCTGACTTCCACAGCCTGCTAACCAGGGTAATGTAGGAGACCTCTGAAAACTTCTGGAAATTTCTGAACTTTCCCTATTACATTAAGCACTCATTTGGGAACTTAAAGGCTCTGATTTGCCAGCCATTCCAGTATGTTACGGAAATTTCAATGAAAATTAGTATATTTGGAATAAAACGTAAAGTTTAACAACTAATCCCTCTACTTGGAAATGTACAATGAATAAAATATAGAAAGTTAATGACAAAATAGTGTCTCGTAGTCATTTAAAATGCAATTTTGGAACAGTGCTTACTATCCACTGGGTTTCAGAGGGACTTAAAATGTAGTTAACTACAAACACATTCATGAAATACAGATGTTCCTTTTCCTAGTAGATTGATAGCTGAGGATGACTTGCAGCACCTTATGTACCTCCTTGAGTTTAAGTACAAAACTTTAACACAAATAATTCTGAAAGTATTTTCTATAGCAATATAAATGCAAAACACAATGAGTATGTTGACAGAGTATACATGTACTGTAAATCAAAAACATTTAATGGCAGCAATGGGTCTGAATAGGTGAGTCCCAGAGTTAACTTTTAAGATTTAGAACTATGCTCTAAGGCATTCTCAAATCCAAACTCCTTGTCTATAGAAGATGACAGGCATGGTCTTAGGCAAGGCTGAAGCCATCACTTCAGCCACTTGGGACCCCACAGATTTGAACAGCAGTATAAACATAAATGGTTTATATTTATATCACTAACTAAAATGACTGGATTTCATTACTGAATTTTCATTACTGAGCAACTACTGAATTGTCTCATGAATAGCAAAATTAACAAGGTTTGCTTTTCTGTGGAATTTTGTCCTGTGTCCTGCATAGAAGTCTCATTCTTGTTACTAATAGTCTCCTGAATCCCTATTATTTTATAAAAGCCTTTGTGGCAACAGCTTGAGTTCCCCTTTTATGTCCCTCCAACCTCTCCCAGATATTTAAGGATTCTCTAAGGCAATACATGTTCAGCATCTGTGCCTGGCTGGCTGGTGTGCACCTGCTGATAGGCAATTGAAATAAGCAACTGCTGAGCTTCCTCTTCAGCATTTTTCCCAGCAGCAGCTCATCTCAGCCACCAGTTCTCCTGAAAACTTATTGAACTTCAAGTTTGTGTGATTTCTACCGCAACCTCAAAAGCATTCAAAAAATACTGCACAAAAATAAAGAGCAGGTGGGCATATCAATTACAAAAGCTCGTCTTCCTTAAGCTTTATGGCTGAATAAAAAAAAAAAAAAAAAAAGAAAAGATTATGTATTTGAAGATAAAATTCTGAAATGTACTGTACTTTGAAGGCTATAGATCTTGAAAGTAAATAAAAAGAACCTGGCACAACCATTTTCTGTGCCACTCCAGGACTGGAAATGAGAATGAAAGGTTTAATTATGATTTTCATGGGGTTTTATTAATTATATGTCATTCTATTCTGTGCACAAAAGCGTCAAAATAGTCGTGTTTTTGCAGCAGCAGCAGTCCAAGATACAGACAGGGAAAGCTGTGTAGCTAGTAAGTAAGTCAGCCAAAGTATCTGGAAAAACTATCAAGCATACAAGTCTTTCTTCAGGTCTGAAATAGTGGCACTAAACTGCACACTAAATACAGGTTGGAATCAGTAGAGTTTGGCATAATAAAATTATACTTGAAGAAATAGTTCCCAACTCTGTACTGAACAGAAATGTACTGCTCCTCTCTGTTTCAGATCTATGAAAGTTTGAGTGCCTCTTTGTTTGTTTATTTCTTTTCCCAGCCATATTAGGTGTTTAATAAAATGCACAACTTCTTAGGAACATTCCTTGCTTCGGAGATATGTTTTGTATTCCACTTACTTCCTTGGCTTTCTTTTCATATAAGCAAGGAGTTTGTTTAAAAAGAAGTTGCCCCTGACAAGAAAAAAAAAAAAATCATTGTTAGTTTAGGCATTTCTAATCTGAGTTTCAATATCTTAGCTCGTTACAGTAAGATTCATTTTTTTTCTAACTAGTGTGGTAGCTTTTCTCATAATTTTTTATATTGCTTTTTATATTCCTCCAGTTCCCTTTTGCTGCAACTTCATTTCCTCTGGTTAGGAGAGCAAACCACTTAGTGACAGATTTTCATCTTAGTGTAATGGTATGTGTGAAAAGGGAGAAGGAAGTGTAAATGTGAGGAAGAAAAATTATTATTATTTCAGAATAATTATATATGGTGTCTGGAGTTTATATAGAACACATACAGGAACACATAATGTTAAAAAAGCTACATGGATTACACCCTGAATAGGCATTAATCTAAATAAGTCAAATATAATTCAATAGAGCCACAGCTCAAAGGGGAGTCACCTTAGCTTGCCAGCATTGGGAAAAAGGGAGAAAGGATTTCCTGAAAATCTTCTTTTAAAAGGAGACTGCTGATAAGAATAGTATTATATCTTCTGTGAATCAGAAACCATGTAGACTGCAAGGAAATGTGCTTTGGCTGGTATATGAACACCTATACTCCAGCTTCTGCCTTCTGGATTTTAGGGAGACAAACTGCCTGTTAGGTAGTCACTGTAGAGCATATTGTGGCAATGACCAGTAGTTAAAGAGGATGTCAGAGACAAACCACTGACTGCTCTGGTGTGACACTGCCAAAGCTGCTAGAACAGGAGAGGCCATGTGTGACAGTCACAGGACAAAGAGAGAAGGTGAGGAGATGGAAAAGGCCAAAGGAACAGATAGTAAACAGTGAAAATGTACAGAAGGATATGTCAGCTGTAGACAGGGTTTAGGCAGGTGAGGAACAAGTTTTTGTGTTTTAGGAAGTATGTATGAAGCCACATATGCATGTGAATGCAATTAAAGTAGTAGGTGAGAGATACAGAAACATCACCAGGGGAAAGCTTAAGGAGCAGGACTTCACACTGGAAGACTGATGTCAAGATATCACCACTACTAGCTACAATCAGTATTTACATAGGAAATCATCTACTTGAGAAAGAGTATAATGAAACAATGTTCAGGAAAGGAAAAGCCAGCTAATAATATCCTCCCATATGTCACTTTGAGTGTTCGCTGAGACTCACCACAGACTACTGAATTTCAATTCTTGCATGAGTATCACTTGATGGTGTTCTCTGAGCCAGAAGGCTGACATGTTTCTTCGAAACATAAACTAGTGTACTCAGCTCAGCATAGCCAAATGTGACACATCTTCTAAGCCTCTAGTAATAGTGAACACCAAATATCTGCTCAGGTAGTCTAGTTAAAACAAAAGAATTAAATATATAAATGTTGAGACTGAGGATCACTCATGGACACTTATCCAGCAAGTCTTACATACAGAAGAGGATTTTAAACTAAAAGCCTTCCTTCAGTTGTGGCAGAAACTTGACAGCAAAGGAATGGTCCATTCTTCTTTAGAAGTTAAGACATGAGCTATCATCCACAACTAACTTGAATTCAGTGTATAATCTAGGTTAACTTAAACTCTTTAACCTTTTATATTGTATAGTAGAATTCTGTTTTGACTTAATTGTTTTAATGATAACTAGGTTTAACACCACATGAAATGTGTTGTAGAATATGATTATGTCCAATATTCCATTGAAGGATGTGCAAATATAGCATTGCACTATTAATATCTTGTAATTGGAAAGGGATTTTCAACTGATAACCTCAACTGCCCATTTAAATATTAGTTAAACTTCTTGACGCTCCTACATGGTATGTATTAGTAGACTTATTGTAGAGGTAATCAAACTGGAGCACAGAAAACTATGACCAGTAATTAATATGTATAGGAAAAATATAACAAAGGTTTTATTATTGTATAAAAGTTCTATCAGTTACAACAATTACATCTAGTTATTTTGCCAACTTTTTTCTAGGGTTTTGGTAGCCCATCAGGTGAACATTGGCTGGGAAATGAATTTATCTTTGCAATAACAAGTCAGAGGCAATATTCTCTAAGAATTGAATTAATGGACTGGGAAGGAAACCGGGCATATTCACAATATGACAGATTTCACATAGGAAATGAAAAGCAGAATTACAGGTAAGAATCTCTTGAAATTATTTTGACTCCTCTGAGTGATAAATATTGTTCATTTTTCACTTGTTAACTATAAGAAAAATCAATAATATGATACTGATTTTCATCAGAAGTGAATAGGGACGGTAAGAATAAGATGGAAATCTGACTTCTCAGTGGTGAAAAGTTAGAGTAAATGTAATAACATATCTGAGAACAAGGGATGATCTATTAATCATGCTGGCTGGTAAAACTGTTAAAAAACTGAATAACTTTTAGCACATCTGAGACTATCAGAACTCAAACCTGATTGAATAGAAAAAGAATATGAATTCTTCATTACAACTTGAAGGATTTCTACCTCAGAAGCATAAAACTGAAACAATGGACGTGGGAAGAAAAGACCAAAAATGTCATTAAAACCTCTGATATTTCCAAGCTAAGAATTCAGTGTAAGTGAAGATGAAAAACAGAATGCTGGATCTTATTGTGAGGAGATAATGAACACAAAACACAGTGTCAGGTACTAGATAGCCTTGATTCATCATTAGAAGCAGCATGCCATTTATTATGGTTCCAAAAAGACATGAAATTAAAACTTTTTCCAATAATGTTTTTCTCCCATATTTTCTTTTTAAAATGAAAAAGTAGGAAACTTAAATCTGTTTATTAAAAAAACCCCAAACCCCAAAACAATAACTCAAAGAAGAACTTAGAGACACAAGAGATATGTATAACCTTAGTGATTTAATTGTATGTTATTTTCTTAAATCATTTCTTCATCTGAGCAGTACTGGAGAAATTCTGGAGAAAGGAAATGAAGCTCAGAAAAAACATTTTAAATTATTTATTACAGCACATCTAGTTATAAGATTTAGGAGAGAACTGAACATGTAAAAATGAACATTCAAGTCATAGGTTGTGAAACTAGGTTGGTATTCAGATTTTTAAATTCAAGTAACTTGATTCTCAGAAATCTTCAGGGTTTGTCAGGGGGCACTACTGCATAATGTAGAAGTGCAAAAGCTACATTTAGAAGCAATCTGTATGAGCTTACAAACTGCATAAAGCAAGGACTATCACATGGCACACAGAAAACAGCTCTGTCCTCCATTGCCTCCAGCAGTGCTGTGACTGGCACTGCCCATGGCATTTTCATCAGATTTTGGGAAGGTGGAGCACCCATTCTGAGGCACTTTTAGACAATCAATAAATGTAAGTAAAGGAAATTTCTCAAAACAGAAGCTAGAAGTATTTATACAAAACAAAACCAGCGGTGTAAAAGTGGGTGATCTGGGACCTTAAACATTAGCAGGTATTAAAAAAATGTAAGGAAAGCTTGGGACAAATATTTGTCAATTGAGGAAAAATTTTGAAGGACAGTTAAGCATAGCTCTAAAAATTATGATAAAAGTCAGAAAAGACACAAGGAATATTACTCAGAGGGTGAATTAAGGTGGTTGAATTTGCTAATAATTGTCTTTTTTCTCACATTTATTCTGGAATGAATAGGGACAACATGTCTTGCTAAGGAATTGGAAAGATGTTGACAATTTAACTTTTGTTAAAGGAGGATTTCTTTTCAGGATCATTATTTTCTTGGATCATTCATGGCAAAATAGCAAGAGAATTGCTTATTTTATTTCAAAATGCTAGACTGTATTTGCAGTAAGATAGTAGAGCAACTTGGAAATGCTTAAAGGATTTCTGCTCATCATAGGCCCATGAAACACAGCAAGGAGTTTTGGGAAGGGCTGCACTGTCCTACCTCCAACAGTCTGGGAACTCTGTTGTGGACTGCTATACATGAGAATTCTTCTTGCTGAACAAGAAAAATACAAGAGATGTCTTTCAAAAGTGTAGAAATTAAATGAGAGTATACAGGCCTCAAAAGTATCATGCTGAGTAACAGTGATAAATTCTACTACTCATGTTCAAGTCATTTTTCCACAAAAATCGGAAAGAATTTGACTTGGACAAATGAATGCAGTTTTGGTTCCTGTCCTACTCCATAGTCCAATTAAAGGGTAGAACGAGTTCTGCTTATGCTGTCTGTGTGGCCTCCTTACAGTACAACTGAATTTTCTTTGTCTGGGACCAGGGAATCAGTTCCATTCACTTTACTCTGGAATAAACAGAGAGGGAAACATGAAGAGGTATAAAGGCTCTGTCCATCTCTGTTGGCCCTTTGAATTTATTTTTACTCAAACATATCTGAATATTAAAAGAATATAACTGAGTACAAGATGACAGTTCTGGAAATCATGATGAGTAAGCCACATGCAAATCTGGGTTTTTTTAATGTTTGTCAAATGCACTAGTGCTTAAGTCCAGACAGATCTACGTCCAGCAGACATGTTTCAGACTAAAATTATGTTGGGCTCTTTAAGAAAGTATTACAAGAATACATCCTATTACATAAAAACTCTTTATTTTGCTTGCCAGCATCACTATCTGTGATAGAAGCAACTCCAGAAGGCAGGCCAAATAAAAGCCTGATTATTGAGTCTTAAACAGCTGGCTACCCTTCAGAGAATGCTGTTTTCTCTTTATCTGAGGAGCTGCCATTAAGAATTTAAACGATTCCTCTGAAGTTGAAAGTCACAATTCCCAACCTCCTGCTCACAGTGCCTTTCCTTCACAGTTGCCAGGCCTTTTCCATGTTTGCTTTCAATACCTCAAACACAGAACAGTATAGCTTTTCAAAACTTTAGTTACTGTTAATTTGAAATAATTTTGCCAAAAAAGCATACTCTCTCATTTTGGAATCTATTAGGATTTTCTGCTACTGACCCACATTAAATGCTGCTTTGCAAAAATAAGTAATCATAGGCTGGCTTCACTCTACATTAGTTTCAAATAACACAAGTTGTCTAAGAAATAATAACCAGTAAAGAGACAACTTTCCAAGTTGGTCTGGGCAGTTGATCAAGGTGATCTGAAATAGAAGGTATTGAAATGAAAGGAAAAGGTCAGGAAATGGAACATCTTTCATTTATGCTATCTGAATACGTCATACATTTGGAAGACACACACAATAAAAGGTTCCAGGTCTTACGTTTGAATATAATAAATTAAAAAAAAAAAAAAAGACAAATACCATGAAGTGATAAAATGTATCTGAGAAAATATGGGAAATAATTTTCATGCTGTTTTTCTAAAATCCAGCCCCAAAAGTGTGCAAAGTTCGTTTCAGTCTGGATAACTCCCAGTTGGTGATTTCAGAAGGTTTCTGGTTTTTCTTGAATTGTTTGTATTCTCTTTATTACTTTTTATTAGCCTAAAGAATCTATGATTAAAAAGAATAATGCTGAACATATGTATATTAAAAATATACTTGTTTCTCTTTTAAAATGAGATAGCTCCAAAAGGGTTTCTGGGAATGCAGAATAAAATCTATTTATCCCAGGTGATGACTGAATAGAAGAAAGTTAAGATGAGAAGATGGATACTGAAGCAGTAAATGTATAATGATAACTGAAATAGGAAAATCAATATTGCACTACATGTGAAAGCTTCAATAGCATAAAAGTATCTAAGTAATTAATTTCCTTTAGAACATCTTTAGGCTTCTAATCTACACAAAGTGATTACACAGAGGGCTGTTTGTAAATGTGATAAAAACTATTTCTGCCAGTCTGTTTGCAAGTCGTTCTTACACTATGGCAAGTAAAATCTCCATAGAGTAAGAAGAGTCAAATCTAGCAAACCCAATTTAGTGTGGTGTTTCTTAATTTAAGCCAAAGGAGTTATTCACATTTTATATACTACAAAAATGTATGTTGAAAGAGACTCCTAGAAGACATACAGCCTCTCCTCTTTTCCTTTGTAGACTCTACCTAGCTGATTCTTGATACCTAGCTGACATTGTTCTATGTTCTTAGGAGCTGTATAGGTATGACACTCTGCTGCTCTGACCTCTGTTCTCAGACCCTCCAGATTAAACAAGAAAAGTAACCACATGTTGGGATTTCAGGTACCACACTTCATAATCCCACACATTATTTAATGAAAACAGATATACTGATGCTGTATTTTGAACAGCAGCAGTTTCAGTCTGCATGCACATCTGTTGTTGCTATTCATGATACAGGAGCAGCATTTCCAAACAAGGCATGAGATGGACAATGGGAGAAGTGCAATTTTTAATTGACTGAGCTATTTGCACCTCAAAACCATTAGAGAGTACACCCCCACCTCCCCATGACAACATATTCCAGTATTTTTATTTAGAAAAGCTTGCCATTGCTGCCATGACTCACTACCACTGGTCCCATCCATGGAGGAATATGATTAAAAGATAAGGCAGTGCTGCTAAGGTAAGCAAAACTTTGGGATTGCTCTAGGTATAGGTGAAAACTGATGATGGACAGGGAGCATCCTAACTTCTGTGACTGAGTCATGGACTTAAGGTGATGGCTGGTCTTTGATAGCTTATGGAGAACTGTCTTTACATTGGAACTAGAATGAGAAAGAGATTAGTGAATCTTACAAGAAAAAGAAAGAGGGCATAGATACATTGTTAGTGGATCAAGCAAGAGACAGTTTGACAGGAGAACATCAGTTACGTAGAGAAAAATCAGGTGTACGGTTCTTCAGATGCAAGAATTTAGTGGAATTTGTTGCAAACAGGAGAGAGGCACATTGAATTGATTCACATCACTTGAAACCACTGACATGGTCTTGTGATTCATATATATTAGGCAGCACAGTTTCCAAGCTCTACAAAACACTGTGTCTCTCCAGCCTTTGTTTTGGGAAACCAGATCAGTTATTGAATGTAAACTAAAAATTATTAGCCTTTTGGGGACCTAATAGTAGAGAGGTTTTAGTTCACTGAGTACTGGATTTTTTGGTTCTTGCTTGTTTAAGAGTTTGTATATTTAGTTTCAGCAATAGTACTATTTCTTTCTGTTTTCTTAGGCAAACTAGGTAGGTAGCCTGGAGACAGAGGCCTTCATGTAATGTTGATCTTTGATTTCTTTTAAGGTGGAAGCTATTGATTTATTTAATTACCATTGTTG